TTAGAAATAAGAAAAATGGAAATCTATTAAATAGAGGCAACACTACAATGCAAAAAGAAACATAAACCAAAATCAACGGGAACAAGCTAGACACAAACATAAGTAACTGAGAAAATCTTCAACGAAAAAACACCGATTATGAACCTAAGATTGGATATATGTGTTGTTGCCGAATTCTTTGGAAACTCGAATACTCATCGTAGTTGCCACAAGTCAAATTTTGTTTTAGTTATTATATTGTATGGGCTTTATTTTTCAGTTGTTCTAGTTTCGCTAAGTTCTTTATTTTTTTGGTTTTGTCTAGTGTGTTCGGCCAGCTTCGTTTCCGGAATGTGACAAGTTTAAAATTAATATTACTAAAATATACCAATTATGTAAGGGTTTTTAATAAAAAATCTTCTCAACTATCTCCAGATCGTGAAAAATCTCTTCAACTATTTTTTTAGTCAAAAAAACCTCTCAACTATATTTTTTTTAGTAAAAAAACCCCTCAACTATACTTTGTTAGTGAAATCAACACTATGTCTATAGTAACGTTTAATCCCAAAAAAAATATTTTGTTTTGTTACAAAAACGACAAAGCATCTTATATATTGACCAAAACATCAAGTTGTTGACAAAAAAACAACGCGAAATGAATCTTATGACAAAAAAACGTGATCTTAGGTATAATAGTAAATCATATGATTAATCTTAAACTCATTCAGGAAATCAGCCGTAATTACGTAGTTGAGGAGTTTTTCACTAAAAAAATAGTTGAAGAAATTTTTCACAATTTGGGGATAGTTGAGGGGATTTTTCATTAAAACCTGGTTTGTGTATTTAAAAGATTGAGAATTTCCCCATGACAGGCTTTATAACATCTGGGCTTTCTTCAACGTGGTTAAGAAAATCATGGGTCATGGGTTGTATGTCCATACTAATAGGGTTTCATAAGCCTTTTTTAAAATCCAATTAGTATATGTAATAAATAATATATTCATATTAGAGTTTTTAGTTTTCTTGC